AATGCAGAACAGTATGACAGCTGGGAAAACTGGCAAGGTATGTCCCCAAGTTCCTGCCAGCTCATGTCAGCTCTGTGACAGGAAGCAGTACTTCCACCTTTGAATCTTGGACGATTAGGCCTGAAAGGGACCACAGGCGCGATCTCTTCCCACGCATCCCTCCCGCAGATGAGGGACCTTAGACCGGAGCTCTTTCCTCCCTGGGTCGGTGTGTCCTGGCCTTGTGGAGAGCAGGCCTTCCGAGAGCGTCTGTATAGTGTTCAGATAGTCAAGGAACAATTGTTCTTCACCTTAATGTCTTTCAAATTAAGGGGTCTTTAATTTTTAATGTTTACATCTGTCTTGGAGGCAGTTAGTTATCTGAGACTTAGGCGACACAGCAGGAAATGGTTTTAGAGATTGCAAAAATTAATGTAACTCTTCAAGATAATTTCTCCACAAAGAGAACAATTCAATTTTAGATCAAGAGGAGCTGAAAGCCCCATGTACACATGTGGGACGTAATGATTTAGGGAGAGAAAGGAGATGATGTATTAGTACTGAAATTTATTAAGAGTAAAAACTTCTTAAATGTATTTTCTCCTTGAAGAAAATAGAAAAGGCCTTTAAAGCAATAACTTCATTATCCTTTCTGTGACTATAAAGACACCATTTGTAGCAGAATGATCCTTTTCTGAAGGACAGTTTGGGCAGAGGTCTGGAGCGAGGCGGGGCAGGAGTGTGGCCACACCTGGACAGTGAGGCTGGACCTGGGGACCATGGTGCCCTGGCAGACAGGTGCTGTCAGCTCACAGTGAAATCTGCATCAGGGAGACACAGCTTCCATTTGTCACCCAAAGAGAAATGAACTGATACTCAGAGAACGTGCTGAGGACCCCAGTCCATCCCGACGGGAGGGCGAGGCCAGGCTGGAGGGGGCTGCATACAGCTGTCCCATCTCCATGGGTTTGAAAGAGAAGAAAGGCATGATTTGTGGGTTTTTTAAGGAATCCTGCTTTCTACATGATTACTTAAAATATATATATATATATATCGACTTCAGAGAGGGAGAGGGGAGAGATAGAAACATCAATGATGAAAGAGAATCATTGATTGGCCGCCTCCTCCTGCACACCCCATACTGGGGATTGAGCCCGAAACCTGGGCATGTGCCCTTGACGGGAATTGAGCCTGGGACCCTTCAGTCACCAGGCCAATGCTCTATCCACTGAGCTAGACCAGCTAAGGCTACATGATTTTTATAAGGTGAACAAGAAAATATTGGTTTCTGCTCTTGTGAAACTGTTACGTTTGTTCCTTGAGATTAACACTGACACTGCATTAGCACCATGAGATTTCCATCTGTGACGAGAACCTGCCCTCATTTGGGGGGAAGCAGAATATGTCAGATGCATGTCAAGGGCCTGTATTGATGGACTGAGGTACTAACGCAGAAATGAACTTGGTCACAGCTCCCTGAAGGAGCAAGGGCTCGTGTCTGTCAGTGTGTTTTACGTCCTCGTGGCCTGGGCGTCATGGTGAAGGCTCGGCTGCTCCCTGGTCAGCAGCCCAGAGCTGCTTTCAGGGTGTCAGTGGGCTCTGGGCGAATTTGTCTGTGGCCTGACCCCTATTAGCTGCGTCCTGCTCATCCCGTTTCCCTCCATCCCACAGCAGGGCACCAGGATTGGCCAGAGCCCCAGCCCAGAGGACCAGGCCCTGGGGAGCCGAGGGGCTGGTGGTTCCTACCTGGGGGCCATTTTTCCTCCCAGAGAAAAGGTTCACAAAAAAGCAAGTTCTTGACTCTAGTAATCGCAGCCTCATGAAAAATACTGCCTATATAAACACCGGAGGTTTCAGATCATAAAAGCAGCCACTTCAGTGCAAATAGCACCTGTTGAGCAAGGTCTTTGAAGTAGTCATTGCACAGGTTCAGGTCGGCCTGAAAGAGCCTGGGCTACAGGTCAGGGGAAGAAGGCCCTTCTCGCCCACTGCACGGAGCCTGCTGTCGCTGGCACTGTTCCTGCGTGCCACCCGTTAGTTCCAACCCTTTGTTCATTTTCTCACCCAAGGAAGAAACTCCCAAGAAGTCAAACCACTATCTCTTGCCCAGTTCAACCCCTTATCCTCTTTTTTGAAATCTGAACACAACTTGGGAAAGGAAACCTGATTAAAATTGGGAGAAATGAGAATGAAAGGGCACACGAGCAACATCGAGGGAGCTCAGTGCTTGTTCCATATCACACCTCCAAGTGCTGTCAGTGCAGCCCACGACTTCTGAGAGTTGCATTGCCCTTCAGAAGGAAGTTTCTGATCAGGCTATGTATGGAGTTTCTCCTGTGAATTAGTACCTGTTTGGACTCTTGTATAATTGTCTTTTGTTTTGGGCTTGTTGCTGTTGTTATACTAAACTAAGTATACCATTAACTCTCAGAGAACATTTCTGCAACCTGAAACAGGAGATTGTGGAGGACTGGTGTTGAGAGCTTATCCAGGCTCAACACTAGTGGCTCTTAGGGTGCTGCCTAGACCCCTGTGTGCACCCAGGGCAAGGGCCAGCCAGCAGAAATTGCCTTGCACCAGCGACTTAAGGACAAGGACAGGAGCACCAGGGGAGGGGAAGGCGGTGAGTCACAGCCCTGCACGAGGCTGTCCCTCAGCACCAGGTCCCTTCTGACTGTGTGAGCCCAGAGTCCTACCTGTGCTCCCAGCCTATCAGGCCGTGTCTCCACTTCCAGAAACGATGACGACATTGCTCCCTCCTGATCTAGTTAATCATTCTTACCCCCCTCTTTTTTTTTTTTATTCAAGGTGAAATCGGTGCATTGTAAAGCTGGGGACACGGTTGGAGAAGGAGATCTGCTCGTGGAACTGCAATGAAGTATTTATAGCCTTTCAGCCGTTGCCCAATTTAATTAGCCATTTGTATTATTATTCTTTCACTCAATTTATCCAAGCATTTTGCAGCAGATTTTACATGGTCATATTTATTCCACATATAGTCAAAACCAACATTCTGCCAAAAAATCACCAATGGAAATTTTTACTGATATAAATACTTGTACATATGATTTGTACTTCTGCTATGAGATTTCCTAGTGTCAAAGTTAAATCAATAAAATTGAGCGCTTGTCTAAATATTAGTTTGCCCTTTTTTTGAATGAAGACAATGTACATAAGAGGCCACGGTCTGTGCCCGTGGACTTTAAATACTAGCATTTCATTGTGATCCTTTAAAATATTTATATAAATCCCAGCTCTGTCTTCAGTTTTAGTAAATTAGCATTTGCCACCCTATAATCCGAATGCCTGCTCATCCTGGTTGAGGACTCCTGTTTGTGGTTATTCGTAACTCCCTCAGCCCATACAGCACAGATGACGATCATGGACATCCCCCTGCGGGGCTCTAATGGGTAAGTACTGGATCTGCTGGATCCCTGGACGTCACCTTAAGGAGAGATGACTCACAGGGCCCCTCTTCCCCCCAGGCCCCCCTCACCCCAACTGCAGTGGGTGGGGCTGCCACAAGCTCATCAGCTGATACCCATCCTTGCCTTCTTGTGTCTTTGTGAAGCAAGTTTCCAATTAGGAAAAAGGGGCTAAAAATAATGATCATGTTTTTGTGCCAGATGCAGTTAGTGATCACAGTCTACCATTAAGTTGAAGAGTAAGTGAGCTCTCCCAGAGGAGACGAGGTTTCTGAGATCAGCAGCTGCATTTTCATTCGGTTCTGAAGTTCTTGGAATACATTTCACACTTTGCTGGTAAGCAAGTAGAGGCAGTCGCGCACTGATCTGAGTCTACGCTGACAGATCACGAGGTGGAGGTGGGTAGTAATTGCTACTTCGTGCCTCACTAAAATTATTTTAAGTGCTGTTTGTATTTGGAAGCTAAGCTTTCTGTCAGGCCTGAAGAACAAATTGCTAATGTGTTGGTTCTTCTCCAAAGGCCCACCCCCAAATGCGCTCCCTCAGAAGCAGGGACAGTGCTTGCCGCTGGGCACTGGGCTTGGGGGAGCTTCTATCTGAAATCGGGGTGTTCAGCTGTGTCTGCCAGCAAGTGGGTGCTCATTATTTTGCTAGATTAGAATAAAAAGAATCTTCTACCAAGTAAGGGCCAAGAAAAGGGCCAAAAATGACACCAATACTTTTATATTTGATTTTCTAAAACATTTAATTTTAAATGATCGTCTTTAATAGTCTCTTTAATAAGCTTGATCTGAAAATTGTGAAGAAAAATGTTGTATGTCCTCCAAAACTACTCTAAAATGCAGCATGCTTTTCTTGAGTTTCTTTTATTATTTATTACACTGAGACATCCAAGATCAGCTTAGGATTTTTTTTTTTT